GTCTGTCACATTTTACATGGTAATAAAATTAAATTTTCCCTACAAAACCACCATTTTCTTGAAGCTACTTTCTGTTTTCAAACTTTTTAAGCTTGATATAGTAGTTGACAAACTTTGTTTCTGGATTTCTTTGATGGAAGACCAAGCTTGGTTCTCTTTTTTTTACTTTCTTTCTCTCTGTCATGCTATTTCTTCTCCTCATCTAGCAGTAATCAACTCAAAAGTGGGATCTGACTCTAGTTTTGTGCAGATTCTACTAACAAATGCTTATTACATTCGGTCCTACTCCTTTTACTGCCTCTGAAATTTTTTAACCTCTCCTGAGATTAAATGTATTTATTTATTTTCAAGGCAGAAGTGTTTATAACATAAGGAAATAATGAGGTAACTAGTGATTTTTTTAATCCTGTACTTTGAAAAATGAGGAACTTTGAAATTAAGATTTAAGCCTGACATCATATCTTATACTTTAAGAGTTCAGGCAGAGGATAGGTTATAGAAGGAAGATGAGGTTGCATAATTTTTATTTTATCTGTCAGGATAATAATGAACTGTGGCTGTGATTTCATATGATCTCAAAGACACCCTTAACAAACCATAATGTCCAAATTGACGCAGTGAGGAAACATTTCTTTCAGGCACTATAGGTATTTCATAATTGAAAAAAAAAGACCCCAAAAGTAACCAAACCCACAAAAAAACCCTCACAAATCCACAAATATTTCTTATTGTGAAGTCAGAAACATAACTTTACATTTTATGGTTTTCAAGCATAAGTGTTTTTAGTTACTGGACATAAGAAGTAAATCAATTGTGGTTTGGAAATAAATATAGGTTTGTATTGGTATTTTGATATTAAAAGGAATGTAGCTAGAGAAGTGTAAATAGGAAAAATGATCACATAACTTGTAACAGGAAGTAAATAATTTACATTGTCTCTTCAGGACTTTTTTTGTCTGGTTTTCGTTATGACACATATATAGAATATGATGTTTGGAAACAACAGAAAACAAAAATATAGCATATGGTTTGTTATGTCTTATAGCTGTGGAAAAAAATAAATAGAATGATCTTCATCTGTGCACTGAGAAGTCTTGAAATCACTATCTTTTAATTTTCAGTTCTAAACCAATGATTTTCTGAACTTGCTCACAGAGACCATGATCAGACCCAGATTGTGGAATTATAATAATCTACATCCATTGTAATAGTCTGTTTGGGTCTCTCAAATTTACAGCACAATGTGCTCTGTAAATTAAATTTCATTTTGTGACCTCATTTAAAAAAAACAACTAAAACCGAAGGAAATGAATCTCTCCCCCCCCAAAGCCTATTAAAATACACAAAGGTGTCAAACAGTGGCTGAATCATCTTTGTTCATACTAGTCCAACATGTGAATTCAGAAATTCATTATTTCATTAATTCGTGAACTCTCTAACTCACAAGTTCTCTAATACATAACTTATATATGAGCAAAATGCTAAGATGTTGATGAGAGTGCTTATTCTTCCTCCCCCATCACGTATGGATGCCCCTTATACCACACTGGCAAACATAAAGTCCTCATCAGTCTGGCTGCTGTTGCATCTGCTTCAAAAACTTTAGGTGTAAGCTGACGTATTTCTATTTTTAAGCTCAGAAGTCTGGTTTAGACCATTTCCAAGAGTTCACAGATTCTGAATAAACTGCTAGGCAGTTACTTTGCAAAGATGCAGGAGATGCTGGCTGCAGGTGATAGCATCCCTTTTCTTTTCCTGTTCCTTGTGTCCTATGTATGTGTTGCTCTTGCTTTGACCTGATGGCACTGCTCCCAGGATATATCAGGTTTTAGCATGAGCTGCATGTTTATTATAAAAATATTTTTACTTTACTCTTTTTTCCTCCTCTTTACTTTTCCAAAAAACATTTGGCAGGTCATTACGGTTCCCCTAGCCTCAGTTTCTTCTAATACTGTCAAATTATTTGCTAGGGTTTCAGTATCAAATTAATTCATTTTTTTATGCCAATTTCATCCAACAGAATTTGAATAATACCTCAATAAGCATCCCTCTGGAACTGTGAGATTCTGACAATTGGAGGCACTTTCATAATAGTCAATACATTTTTATTATTTTTGCAGCTTTTTTCAAGAATAATATTTTAGTCTATTTCTTTTAAAACAGATGCAAGAACAAGCTAAAGTGGAATGCCTGTTGCTTATTTTAATCAGTTGCTCTACAACTCTAGCAACAGATTTGCTCTTCAGACATAGGTATAGACGTATGTATCTGGTATTAAACTAACTGCATAAGAATATCCACCATTAATTCTACTAGCCTTGTGTTTTAACACTCACGGGAAGCTATTACTCTTCTGATAAAATGAAAATACTTGTGAAAAATACCTGCAGAAACTTAAACTTTACATTAAAATGTCCAAGTCTAGACATTCTAGTATTTTTATGCATAATAATAGTAAAAAAGAAGTTTGGAAATGCCATTACAGTGATGTGTGGCAGTTCATTTGCTTTTGTCACCTGTGGTCTTAGTGGCTCACTTACCTGACAGCGAGGGTCACCATAATGGATCAGCATGATACATCATAGTTTTTTGCCAAGAAAGGAAGTTTGTAGGCAAAACCACACAAGCCTTTTCTCCATGGGAGAGGAAGTCTGCTCTAGTCTTCACTGAAATGCATTCTCTTTTTTCAGTTGCATACAGTATTCTCACAAAAGTCAAACACAGCATTTTAAATATAATCTTGTATACTACATGTATACTTTGTTTTGTTCCCAAACTCTTGACTGGTAAGATATCATTCTACCTCTTGCAGTATTATAGGGGATTCATAAAAAAGCTGTTCTGAGTAGATTTTCTGAATTTAAGACACATTCAAATATCTCCTTTACTACGGTGGGCCGAGACAATACTAATATTTCCTGAGGACAAGCAATTTATTTTAATTCTCAGTTTTTTTGAATTTTAGGTGCAGAGTTAGGATCACGTATCCATGATGAAAAGTCCAGGCAAAGGTCAGCATATCAAAAAATGATTTGAAGCCTACTAGGCTACTGTACAAGCCTACCTCAAATATAACAGCTTTAAGTTTGATCTGATTAGTGGTGTTCCAGCCTCAAGACCACTAGAGCCACACAGTTGTGGGGGGCCAAGAGTTCATGGCCAGTGAATAAAACCACCTTTTTTGGCAGCAGTTTGCAGTAAAATTACCTCAAATCAGTAATGAAACCACAGCAACAGGTGATTCCAATTCATGAAGATTTTTGTTTTCTTCTCAGGTCCTTTGAAGTTTTAGACAAAGAAAATTATTTCAATTCTTATTTCTCCAACTTTTAAGATTTGTAAACTGCACACTCCCCAAGTTCTGCCATCTTTCAGTGAATATGCAAAGCTGCTAGCAAAATCCATTTATAAAACCTACTGAACATAGTAATGAATGTCTCTGCAGGCATCTACTAGTCTGGGACAGAAGCAAAAAATGTGAGAAAAAGTTATTGTACAATTTAAACCCCCCAAAACCTCAACTATTGCATTATATAATTAAAGTTTACAGTGGCTTGGTTTTGCTTTGCTTTAATTAAATCTGTAGGAAACAAAAGGCAATATCACAAACCAGAAGTTAAATTAACAACTTATTGTGAAATTTAAATATTGTGTTATTTTGACTCTATTTTACCTCATACAAAATTCTGGGTGACCATATCTTAGTATTTTGGATAAATTTTATTCAAATTGGAATTCTGGAAGTAGGTCAGGCAATGAGAAGGGGGTTGGTGGTGAAACACCAGTGATCATGAAGGGAGTCCTTTACTGTCTTTTTCCTGCTCTCATATCCATACTTGACTACAGTAGTTCTGTGTAAGAGTCTAACAAATGGCAAATAAATGTCCTGGAAAACACAGAATAGTTGAAAACAGCTAGGAAACAGGAAAAAAAAACATGTAAAAACTTCTATTCAGCTGAAATGAAACATGACTGAATCATAATGCCAAGACTACCCTTCAGAATTTTGTTTTCTGCATTGGCCTTCTACATTTCAAACACAGGTTTTAACACTAACATTAACATGATTTTTTTACAGATGGATGTGGGAATGTAAGAACATATTTTTAATTTTTTTTTTTTTAACCTAAAATATGTAGTCTTCTACTGATACAGCAACATTTCTAGTCTTTTGGGGGTTTTGGTTCTTTTTAGGAAACAAGGAGATAAGAGTGACTAGTCTCTACAGACTTCCCACAACAGCATTTTCTCAGCTCTGAGGTGGAAAAGCAATTTCTGAGGCATTGATTTACTTCTGGGCCAAATAAGTAATAGTAGATACATAGTGAAAATAAATGCAGCAAGAATTATTTGCAGAGTCATGTCATCATGAGTGACACTATATAGTACAGTAGGATAGTACTACCTTTTCAAGAATATTAGAATAATATAGTTCCTGGGGAACATCGAGAATGTATACAGCAAAATAAAGTCCCCAGTAAAAATGTGTTGGTTTTTTTTTTTCCTCATGAAACAAAGAAAATCCAAAGGTCAGGGGGTTTATGATTTTTTTTTTTTTTTCCTCCCCTTAAGTAAGCAAATTATGAGGTAAGTTTTGCTTACTATGAAGTTCCACAGTTTGGGAAAGAAAGCAAGTGAATCTGTGGTTGTAGTTTATACAGATACTTCTCTCTTACTAGACATTTAAAATATATATTAATTTAATCTTGAAGGAAGATGCTTTTGCCTGGTTTGTCTAGACTCAAAAATTTTTGAGAGCACTATAATTATTTAATGGCAGTTCTTTTGCTAGCAATTCCTCATCAAATAATAGGTATGTTTGTTTATACTGTACTCAGAAAATATTACATAAAATATGTTTTAATAGCTATTTCTTGTTGATGAAGCATACTTCTAAGCATTATTATCTCATTATTAGCAGTAAAATAAACTACTGTTTAAGGTTATTCATATAATTTAATTGAGGGAAGATAAATTATTTGTCTTTGTCTTTTTTTTAGGAGTGAAATTAGATGATTAATCAAAACACTAATTTAGGCTTGCTTCAGAAACTAATGGAAGAAATGCAGGTTTTTGAGACCCAACCAAGACAACCTTATGAATTGGCTGGAGGTTGCCAACCAGATGGCTATTTGTGTAATTCAAATCTGCTGTCTCAAAGTTTCTACCCATATTCATCTTATTATCCATACATGCATAAGAATTACAGCAGTGACTGGGAAATTTCTGAAGCAGTAAAAATTCAGGAACTGGAAGAAGTCAAAGCCAGAGCTGCCCAAATGGAGAAGACCATGCGCTGGTGGTCAGATTGTACTGCTAACTGGAGGGAGAGATGGAGCAAAGTTAGAGGAGAAAGAAATAAAGCCCAAGAGGAAGCAAGAAAATTGGGAATCAAATTAGACAATGTTATAAAAGAACTGAGTATGCTTAGAAAAATAAATCAAGTTTTAGTAAGTGAGAAGAAAAACTCGGAAGATGCAACTGCTTGGAAAACGGAATTCAGTTGCTCAGAAATATCGTATATTAAAAAAGACCTAAACCAGCTAACATTTCTGGAACGAGAACCTGTGAATGAACTGAGCAAAATTAAAAAGATTCCTGGAACAGAAGACACAAAGAAGGTAAAGAATGGGGAATTGGTTTAGGTCTTGAAAAAGCAAGAGATTATAGAGTACACAGAAATTTTCTAGGAGTTTTCAAGGATTTTCCCAAAACATTACCTGAACCCTTGAACAGCAAAACCACTTTTTTTTCACCTGTCTATTATTTCTAATATTCCTAATATAGAGAAGTACAGAAAACAATTCATACCTTTCAACTATGGCTAAACATTTAGGTAACAGGGGTAGACTGTTATATCCAATAACTTGTTCTGACTCTCATGTTTTAAGATAACATTACCTCTGTTATCTTTATTTTCCATGTTTTGTGGTTTACCTTTATTTTTACCTCCAAAAAAAAATCAATGTAGGTTCTTGGATTCTAAAATAAAATAATTTAATTCGTCTTTAATGCAACTTCTAAAATGTGGGAAGAGGTGAGGCAAATCCTTCTGCAAATTCACAAGATTTTTTGCTTGGCAAGGAGAGCAATTAAGTTGTTATGCAGAATTAAACAATCAAGTATGGGCATGGTTTAATTACAGCTCCAAGTTCTATACAAAAGAAAGAGCTACATTCAACAAAATGGAACTATTTGTTCATGTTATACCAGTTTTAATTCTTTGCCTTGGCATGAATTGCATAGTCCTCATAGAAAGCGCTATGTAAAAAATATATTTGTTATTTTTCTGACTGATAGCAGTCATTGTAGTAAGAAATATGAATTTTTTTACTTCAGTTCAATGGAAACTTTCAAGATCTTAGGCCTGAATGTATTATTTTCAGAATTTTCACTCACTCTGTAATGCACATAAATTACATTATATTCTTTTGAATTCTGAAAAAAAAAAAAACAACCCACAAGCCACACCATGGTGTTGTTAATGAGAAGAAATTTGGCAAAAAAAAAAAAAAAAGCATGAATTTCATATTTTTGGGCAGATAAACGTGCCATAACAGGATTCCTGGAAGGAAATGACACAAAATACATTTTAACTGTTACACTTCCTGCTTAGCATAAAATAAGGCGCTACTTGAAAACTGAAACATATATGAATGGGAAACAGTCTTATCTTTTCAGCAGTTTCTAATATTTTCTGATGTAGATTGCAGACATTCTTCTAAAACTTCAGGAAAACAGAGTGATATGAAATAGCACTGGTGGTAATCTACTAAAGCTTTAAAAATTTCAGCAGAAGTGATAAAATTTAAATACTTTTTAAAAGTATACTACTGTTTTTAAGAGACGTTCAGTCTTCCTGATAGATAAATATGTATTTTACTTTTTAAAGTTTGTTTCCTAATTGTTTTTATCTTTGCTTATGTTTTGTATTCAAAGCATGTATGCCTTCAAAATAAGTATTCTAGTGCTTTTAGTTTCTGAATGGGATCCAATTGCTATGTTATGCAGGTAACTTTGCTCCTCCTGTGAAACTTGTATAAGTCTGTCAGCTGCTTCGATATGATTTCCACTGAAAGTATAAGAGTCCTTACATAGAGTTTCTCAGTATATTATTTGTATGCATAAATTGCATTCCTGATTTTGTTAGTTCCATGATTCTGTCTTCAACATAGTTATAGCTAATTAACGATAATTGGAATTAATTTCTTTAGTAAAGATGCATTAGAATTATTTTGAATGAAGCTTGTCATTACAGAAGCTGTAAGAGAGAATCACAAAGTGAAAATGATCCAACTACATTGACTTTTTTTGCACATTCTATCCATATGCAACTGTATAGCATGTTACTTATTTCCTTTTTCTCCTACATGACTTAAATGTCTAGAAAAGTCTTGGTAGTCCCTGCAGAAATTATGCAAGTCTTTTCCGTTCATTTATGTTTTTCTCAGATGTCATATTTTTGTTTTCTCAGGATGTATTCAAAGACCAAAGTAATCACAATCAAAAAATCTCTCCAAAGCCTCCCGATTCCTTTCCCAATGTTGTTCCCAGCACCTATTTGGAGGAACATAAAAAAAGTTTGGACAGTACAACTGAGACAACAGAGAATGATTTAATACATGTTTCAGTCTTGCATTTGCAGTTGGCTGAAACACAGAAAATCTTGCAGAAGGAAAGAGAGTAAGTGCAAAATAAATCCTACTTGGGGGAATTCTATTAAAAATAAAGGTTTAAAAGACACTTTCTAAAATAGATATGGCGATACTTTCATTCATAGTTCATCTTTTCCATTTCTAAGCCTTATTAACTGTTATTTACATGACTTTGATAATAATTTAGAAAGAAAATCCACCATAATGTGTTTATGGATTTTCTTAGATTTTCTGTTGCTTAAATAAGAAGTATTCCATACAGAACTTTTAAGAATAAGAATTTAATAAAAAATATATACTTACTAGAAATTTGGTATCAATACAGTGATATCTAATGTATATTATGCTTAGTTATTGGAGTCTTTTGTGCGTAACAACAAATTTTCATATACTCTGCCATCAGACTTTGGAAGAGTCCAACTGCAAACTAACTAAAGTGGTTTTGAATTAAAAGTACAGCTGCAAAATACAGCTGCAAAATTCTGTTAATCTTAACTCTTCACTTGTAGTATGGTCTATGTCAAAAACAGGTAACAGAGATAGAATAACACACATTGCATGCTTATTGTATCTATCAAGTTTACTTCACATAAATACTAAATGTTCATTTTGATGAAGTAAAGAGATTATATGTTGATTGGGCACTACCTGCTAGAATGTGAGTCTCTGTTGGTAGAAATTCCATGACATTTTGTACAGGTGATCAGTATTGAGGAAGACTGAATCACACCAAAAAAGGCTTTCCAAGGAAACATGCGCTATATGAAGTATGATGGATGTAGTAGGAGACTTCAGGCACTATGCAACAGTAACTTCAAAATCAGCTGAAGTTAAACAGAAAATGAAAAAAGAAAACATTCCCTCTTTTGCAAATATGTTCCAGAGTTTTATTTCTGAGAGTCTGTCATGGGAAACTCTGATAAAGAATTTCCTTCCTGTCAGGTTGGGTTTTTTTTCCACACAACTGTCCTGTAGATAGTACAAGTCTGAGTAAACAAACAAAAATATTTTTAAAATCTGCTACATTCCTAACTAGGGTTTACTGTGTTCTGTTATAGGAATTAGATAGCTGTAGAAAACACACAATAATAGCATATTGCAGCAGATCACCAGAAGTATGTTCTATCTCATTAAAAAGGATTTAGATTTTTATGGAAACAAAACTCCCAAAATCCCTAAATTTTCCAGCTTGTCATGGTATTTTTATATGTGAGTTAAGAGACTGATGCCTCACATACCCATTTTCTTCTAGTTGAAGTATTTAGGGTCCTAGGTACTTAATTTTTCAACAGCAGTCTCAGTATACATCCATGCATATATAAATCTTTAATTTTAGAAAGGGGATATTTTCTCAACTGTTATTTTTTAATCCCTTCAATAGATTTTGCCATTTATGCCTAGATACATACTGACTGTGGTACATGGTAATAAATTTACTGGCACATGGTAAGAACTGGGGCACATCTACACCAGTGCCAACTCCTAACTCCTGCATAACAGAGGGCATTGGTATAACAGCTCCCTCTCTAGGTCACTTTGGGTAATGCCTCCTGTGCACAAAGATGTTCTGTAAGCAGAATATATGCAACTTAAAAGTATGAAGCAATTATTTTTTGGCAATGCACACAATAAATAGCTGGGAATAATGTTACTAGGATAAGTATTAACATAGTCACCAGTCTCTTGAGACTTTGGGTCTCAAGACTTATGAGTCTTTGTTGGGCAGGCTGTCATCTGCCAGCTCAGGTTGGTCTCCACTCCTTGGTGGATTCAGTTGATTTTGCTGAGTTTCCATCCTCAGATTCCTAGGTTTTCCTCTTAGGTTTTAGACTTGCTCATGTCAGCATTTCTGCTTCTGTATCCTGGAGCTGCTAATGATCACTATCTCACCCCTGTTTGCATTTTTTACTTATCTTGCATGGCTAAAACTTAAGTACTTTCTCACAGCTTCTTCCTTGCAACTTAGCAATTTTCCCAGCAAACTTGAGCCAAGGACACACAGCTGTGCTGCATCAAAAGCAAACTTGGATCATTGACAGCTTGAACCCTAAGGCCAAAGGTTACCTTGGCAGTCAGTATGATCTTACTCATACAGCACAGTTCTCTGGTTTACATGCAGTACTCCCAAACTGTGGCCACATTCTTTCCAGAATCATGTTAGCTCATGCAGATCCAGTGTTTAGACTTGCCCCTAGTTACCTGACTAATGTCTCCATGAGATGTTTTGTTTCTTCATCCTGAGAGGACCTCTGCTTCATGCATCCTGTTTAGAGCTGTCTTTGGTAATGCCAATATTATCCTTAAGCCATAGATCAGGCTTTGCAAAAGAAAGGAGTACAAAAAAACCCAAAACAACAAAAAAACTTCAAAGCTTATGTTTTGGCTATCAAAGAACTTCAGGGTTAGGTAAAATCACACATCAAAATCTTCTACTAAGCACACGGCTCATATCAAATACACATTTGAGGTTCCATTGACCTTACTAGTTGCTCAGCATTTTAAAGAATCATTTTCCTAAAATAGTTATCTTTAGTCCTCTTTTGGATCAATGTTCTCATCTTAATGTCTTGTAGTTTCAAAATATTAATTTGTCCCTTTTGAACTTTGAAGTATTTCTTTGCTTTAAAACCAAAACCTACCAACTGCACCAGTGTTTGACAGTATCAAAGAGGAATTGCTTAGTGCTGCATGTGTAGGCTTAGCCAATGGACACAAAAGGTGCTTCCTGAGCATCAATAAACACTTTTTATCTGTTATGATGACTTGGTGCAGGTTATCTAGAGAGGATGCTGAGTCTGCATTGTTGGAGACATTACAAAAGCCATCTGGATGTGGTCCTGAGCAACCAATTCTAGATGACCCTTCCTGAGCAGGGGAGTTTAGACCAGATGACCTCCAGAAGTCCCTTTCAACCTCAACCATTCTGTGTAATTCTGTAATTTAATAAGATAAGAAGGAGTTAAAATAGGTGGCTAGAAGATCCGTTAAATATGCTCTGATCTTGATCTTTTGTTTAAGTAATGGTAAGATGCTTCACAGATTCTGCCTGGCAATAATATCTTTAGTAAAAAAGGTTGATAAATCCCATTAGCCTCAGAATAGAAAATAACTACTGTGGCTTACGGCAGTTTCTTAAGTTGCCAGGATTGTCAACATTTTTTTCTTTTACAATATATTAGAAAATATATAATATATATTATATTATATTATATTATATTATATTATATTATATTATATAATAATATATATACCCTGACTTTGTTCCCATATTGATGTTTATCACCAATGGAACATTCCAGAATTTTTAACTGTGATATTATTTTATAAGAATATTAGAAATATAACTTGAAATCTATTATTTGTAATTAAGATTTTTCTCTTTCACCTTTAATTATGTTCCAAATTCTACTTTGTTGCCAAATTGCAAAACGAAACATATGCACTACACAAATATAAAATGAAATTATTAAGAAATTCTATAAAGTGAAATTAAGAGAAGTTCCTTCTTGTCTTTGGAACTTGGCTAATAGTGTTTGCTGTGAACACAGAAATGAATTCTTAATTGTGCTCAAAGACAAGAACATCTGAAGTGCCTCTGCTGCTTCATATTTTTTTCATTATTTCCTGAATGATTGAAACTATTTTAATTGATTAGAAGGGTAAGTATCAAAGTTCATTGTTTCAGTAATCCAGTACTTTTCTCCGAGGAATCATCATTCATTCCTTGTGAATTGTTTATCCTAAATAATTTTCTTAATGTAGTAATGGACTTCATGCTCAAATAACATACCAGAGAAAAAGCTGAATGAGGGTGTAGTGCCTCAGCTATACGATAAATTTTCCTAAAATTCTTCTAGCATTTTCTTTCAAGAGTAATTATCTTTTGAAACATGGTTTATACACATTGTAATACTTTTTAACGTGTAAATTAGATCATCTTCAGTTTCAGTACTGTCTACATAGAATATATATTCCCCCCAATGTGTGTGTTTAAAATAACATTCTGCGTGTACCCAAATAGAATTGATACCGAACCTTTTCTCTGAGGATTTTCACTAAATCATGATGTATTAGGTGATCTGAATCACTAACTGAAAGGTGTTTCCAAATTTTCTTCAGCTTATCCCCAAATGTTGTTTTTAAATTTTAATTCTATACTGCTGGGATTCTTTGTTCTCTTTAGCTAATATTTTTTGTAAATCTGCTGTAACAATATGATGATAATACAGGTTTTTATTAAAAAAAAAAGATATACAGCTGACAAAGGCAGCAAAATATAACTCAATCTGTGCAAAGTAATTTGTTGTCAACCTCAAAAAGATGCAATGCTGACTTGTAAAATGCTTTTTCAGAATGAATGCATTTCTGGAAAAAGAAATGGAAAAAATAGAAAATGAGTTATATCTTTGGAAATGGAAATATGAAGAACTGCGTCAAACCAATCTGGAAAGCCTGAGACAGGTATGTTAGCAGTACATGGTTATCACATTGAGTAAGAAACAAAATTGAGACTTCTCATCTCCTGTGTTGTAACTAAGAGTAAAACCTTATCTAGAGTTTATGAATGTGATAAATCAACCATTTATTAATTATTTATCCATATAGCCTGGCAATAAGGGACCTGCAGTGAGTATATGGGCAAGCCCAGCCCTGGGGCAGCCACTCTGTGCTGCCATGTCAACACTGGTGCTGGGGAGCTGCAAGAGCAGTACTAGGGTGGCTCTATAGTCTTGCAGGAAGGGACTGGCTGGAGGAGGCAGGTGTTGCTGCCCCTCCATGTGTGGTAAGGATGGTGGTGGTCCTGATGAGCCATGGTCAGAGTCCTTCTGGGCTTGTGTTCAGGCAGAAGGATCTAACGTGGGGCAAAGGGGTGTGTGGGGAAATACCATCACCATAAGGGCATTGCCATTGGGCTACCAAATGGGTATGGTGGGATTGGAAACCTAGCAAAGAGGAAGGTGGCATCCTCAGAGGTGTTGGGGTCATCCTGAGATCTAGGCTGTGACCAAGAGAGGTAACTCCTGTTTAGGAGGAACCAAGTGCCCATTCAGGTGGAACTTGTCTATGGTGAGCAGTAGCTTGTCCATTAGTTTGCATGTGAGAGGGGGCTGGCAATGTGCTGATGGCGGCATGAAACACATCAGCAATAGTAGTGGCACACCCTGGCACACGGTACCCAGCACTAGCTGAGGCTGCTGGTGGCACAGTAGAGACCTCACTCAGCTCAGAGTTGCTGAGGGAGAATGCAGGTCCCCAGGCACTGGGCTGCAGGCAGTGCCTGATACCTTCTCTTGAGGCAGAGGCAGGGAAAGAATGTCAATGCCTACAAGAGGTATACACTGGTGGAGGAAATGTGTTGCCCCTTTTGAGCTGCAGGAGGAAGTGAGAAGGCTGGGCAGGCTCAGGGAAGGCAAAGAGATTAACAGGATCTTTGCAGGGTCTCCAGAGGTAAGAGAATCTGAACCACACAGGAATGATTTGTCCTAATACACAGGATAATAGGTAAATGTGTCAGGAGACTGAGTTAGCTTAGCAGAGAATTCTTGGTGGAGTTCTGATGACAGATGGCAATGTACTTTTATAAAGGACATCAAAAAAGTAATTTAGGAACATTACCTGGTTATGTAGGAATGGTTATTGGGAAAAGAACTCTTTATTTCAATCCAAGTTCATCAGTAGAAGAATATTCGTGATGCAGCTTTCAGGACTAATCTTCCAAAACAATGGGTTGAGGACCATTTAGATCCAACAAAACTCAAAATGTGTGTCTATATAACTAAATATAGAATTTAAAATTTCCTATAAGTTTAACATCTCATTATATAGGAATATTAATTAGCTTTCTTTTCACATTTTGGAAAATATTGCAGGCAGTCTACTAAATTCCAAGTTCTAGTTACATGCTAACATATCCGTGAATGGAATTTCCTTCGTAGATGAACAGCCACAGAAACAAATTAACATCTATCTGTCATATTTGAGTTCCTTCAGATATTAGTTCTTTATTTTCTGCTTGCTCATTAAGCAGGGTTTTAGCTTGACATGCTTCTGCACAGCAGAGGAAGTCTAGATTTAGTTAATTAATTTAAGAAATTTAGTCTTTATGTTTTATGTCACTGTCAGCAGGAATAGAACAACAAGTAAAAACTTACTGAGGACTGGTTGGAGACTGACGGATACCAATTTTTGTATATGTGCATGAACATACACATGTATATGCACTGTTTCTTTTTTCTTGGGAACATGTTGAATTGCCTTAATTGTTAACAGGAGGTGATATTTTGAGCATCCTGTTTACCTTATGAAATTTATAAGGTATACGCCTAGTTTTGAAATTACAGGAAAACATCAGTCTTGATGAATCTGACTAGTGTGAATGAAATAACTTGCATTTGTGCATTTCTTTCTAAGTGAAAATTCTTCCTTTATTGAAACAAACCCAAATGTTGTCTGTAGGTGATGCATCTGTGAATGTCACTATATATTACTGTCGGAAGCTGGAGCACAATACAAGGTTTTTGACAGTCAAATATTTGCAAGTGAAATAAAGGAAAATCCAGATATGCTAGGCTAAGCACGGAATATGATTTGTATACACACTTGCAGTACTAAATCACAATGGAATTTTTAGTTTAATAATAGATTAATCATTACCTCTGGAGTATTTTCACATCCTTGACTAAGAGCTTTGGGTTCAGCCATGCATAAATTAGTCTGCTCTTTCCTTTGGTGGATCCTGACTGTCCCACTGTGAATGTGGAAAAAATGCTTGGTTTGCAAGTGACAGCGACAGTGAAAATTCAGCCATTTTTTAGGGATGGTTAGCTCTGCTAGCCTTTTGGAAGTCTGAGAGATTTTATGTAATGTTAAAAGCTTTGCAGCCACCTAGATTTAAGTATTAGTGCTCTTTCTGTTAAAAGATTTTTGTTAAAAGAGTATTCATGCATCTCAAACAAACTGAATATGGAAAGTCTCAGTGACATTGATGATCATATTATTAAAAACTTAAGCATTCTAGATAATTTCACAAAATGTAGATAAGTTTATAATGTATTAACTAAAAAAAAGTAGGAAAGTGGCATTTTATGTTTGTAGTAGCTACGAGTGTTATATGTAATTTTGTGTGACACTACCATTGAACTTGTCCTGCTTGGGGTCATAAATTAGACCATTTTAACATATACAGCTGGAAGTTGCACTTAGTGTTGAAATTGACAATTTCTTTTTCTGTTATAAAAATTCTGTTCTTCCATTAAATAGTAAAATAAAAAGTTAAGAATAACACTAAGAAGCTTATTGTTCAAATATTGATTGATGTTTGACAGCACTCTGTTTCTTTATGACAAGCAGTCAAACATCACCTGTTTTTAATGCACACAATTTTGTTTGTTTCTCTAAGGACACACAGAACTCCTCATTCATGTAGCTTTCTTTAGCCTTTCCTTAATTCTACCTTACTTGGCTGACTAGATGGTGAAAATTATGTCTTGGCTTTCTTTAGCAAGTGAGTGACTTAAGACTTTGTGTCTTTTATTTTTCCAGGGAGAAAGGAGGAATCGAAGTGGTGTGTCACTTCCTTACACTGTGTGTTTATTGCATGAGAAATGTTTTGTACTATCTGGAGCTTATCTTACAAATTATCATGAATTTCATAGAATCATAGAATTGTAAGGGTTGGAAAGGACCTTAAGATCATCCAGTTCCAACACCCTTGCCATGGGCAGGGACACCTCACACTAAACCATCTCACCCAAGGCTCCGTCCAGCCTGGTCTTGAACACTGCCAGGGATAGAGCATTCACAGCCTCCCTGGGCAGCCCATTCCAGTGCCTCACCACTCTAACAGGAGAGAATTTCCTCCTTATATCTAATCTAAACTTCCCGTTTAAGTTTGAACCCATTACCCCTTGTCCTGTCACTACAGTCCCTAATGAAGAGTCCTTCCCCAGCATCCCTACAGGCCCCCTTCAGATACTGGAAGGCTGCTATGAGGTCTCCACACAGCCTTCTCTTCTCCAGGCTGAACAGCCCCAGCTTTCTCAGCCTGTCTTCATACAGGAGGTGCTCCAATCCCCTGATCATCCTCATGGCCCTCCTCTGGACTTGTTCCAACAGTTCCATGTCCTTTTGATGTTGAGGACACCAGAACTGCGCACAAGACTCCAAGTGAGGTCTCACCTCACAGAGCAGAGAGCAGAGGGGCAGGATCACCTCCTTCGACCTGCTGGTCACACTCCTTTTGATGCAGCCCAGGATACGGTTGGCTTTCTGGGCTGCAAGCGCACACTGAAACCGGCTCATGTTCATTTTGTCATCGACCAACACCCCCAAGTCCTTCTCTGCAGAGAAGTTCTGAATCTCTTCTGTTGCCTAACAATGTTACTAGTATCAAAGATCTTTAGATAAGTTTTTGGCTTTTGAAAAGATCTGTTTAGGAGCTTGTTCCACAATATTAACCCATAAAATCACCTTTAAACTAAGATTTAAATGTCTACATTTCTAAGTTGTCACAAACATCTTTTTATGCACTGTCTAATTAATAAGCTTCAGTTCTACTTCTAGAAGAGCTTGTAGCTCTCAGTGGGATACTGAATCTATTAATATTTCTTATGCATTGTTTTTCACTTATAAAAAAATAATATTAACAATGGTAAACCACTTTGTTATTCTTAAAAAAGGGGAATCAATTCCTTAGTACAGATTTACACTTGCATTACTGTTGCGTTTGCAGAAGAATCCACAGAAGGGCAAAGAGCAGGACTGTAAAACCATTGAATACATAAAAGGAGTGACATCAGATATTTTTGGTTTTAAAGTAATCTTTGTTGTAAAAACTAGGAATCCTTACGTTCTCTGAAGAATATGAACATTTTGACATCAATGACATTGCTGATTGAATGTCCCTCTAAAGGGGTATCCAATATTGTCAGATTCAGCTTACTTTACAGATCAATTGACTAACCTTACAGGCTGAAAGACACAAAAAGTGTGTCCGAGTCTGAGTAGTTATGTCTTTGGAGTCTTCATGTGACAGAGCGAATCCTTGGTGTGTTGCCCTGAGTTTTTTTAAACACAGATTAATAGTGAGCAAGACTCTAAGTTTTAAAAAATGTTTAGAAAGTGTTGGAATACTCAATCTTATGCACAGTAAAACATGCTTGTTTACACTCTTTGCAAGTCTTCCTCAACATTTTATATCTATCTTTATCATTTCTAAAGGGCATGCTTCTCTGATTGCTTAAAAGTTAAATAAGATGAAATATTTACAAAGAGATTCTACATTATACTGAAAACAATGAAAACATGCATATACTGCTATACTCCACTTGTGTGCGCTGTAGACTTACAAATGCCGCTATAGGAGGTGACTTCGGTGTTTAAGAATTTTCTGCTCGCTGAATTACAGAATGTTTCCTTACTCTACATTGTCTAGCTTGTTGGCAATTAACGAGGGATATTCA